GTTTAAATGAGGGGAGGGGAGGGGGATGAAGGAGAGAGGAGAAAGGGAGGGATGAGGGAAGGACGGGAGGGGGGAGACATGAGACGGGAAAGGTAGGACGGAGGAAGGGAGACGAGGGAAAGGAGGAGGGGGGGGGGGGCGGGAGGGGAGAGAGGGAGACAGAAGAGGAAATGAAAGGGATAAAAGAAGGGAGGAGAGGAAGAATGGGAAGAAGGAAAGTGTAAGGATGGGAAGAGGAGAGAGAGGAGGAGAGAATTGAGGAGAGGAAAAATAGGGAATGGGAGATGGAGGAGGGAGAAGAAGAAATAGAGGAGGGGAAGATAGGGGAGAGAATGAACGAAGAAGGGAAGAACAGAAATGTTAGGAGGAATGGGGGAAGAGAGAATGTGGATAGGGGGAGGGAGGAGGGAGGAGGATAGAGGGGGGGAATACGGGGTCGAAGGGGGTAAGGGGGAGGGGGGTAAAGGAGGAGGGAGGGTCAGAAGAATATAAAATTTATTTATTGTTATGATAGCGTTGAATTTATTTATTGATCATGCCTTTTGCTTCTCGATATATTTCTGTTGTCTGTTGGTCGCCATGTTTACTGATGCATCACTATGCGTCTGTCTGTGCATGTTTGCATGTGTGTGTATGTGTAGTGTGGTATGTATATATATATATATATATATATATATATATATATATATATATATATATAATACACACACACACACACACACACACACACACACACACACACACACACACACACACACACACACACACACACACACACACACACACACACACACACACACACATACACACACCACACACACACACACACACACACACACACACACACACACACACACACACACACACACACACACACACACACACACACACACACACACACACACACACACACACACACAATATATATATATATATATATATATATATATACATACAAATTTTCAAAAAAGTATTTCCTCTTCCTCTTTGCTCACCGTGTTCAGGATCAGCTGCAGGCAGTCTGTACAGCCTGTTGTCCAGCCGACGTCTATCTGCGGGAATCAGATCAAATCAGAATTACACAAAATTACGTCCAGTGAATAAACTTTATAGTTCATTTATGCCCAATAACATACCATTATTCTCAACCCACCCAGACCCGCATGCAACCTAACATTAACACAGACACGACTAACTGTATACACTCACACAAGAACATACACACACACATGCACACACACACACATACATGTACACACACACACACAAGCACTACAAATACACAGACACAAACACAAACACATATGTACAGAACACACACACACACACAGACACACAAACACACATGTACACACACACACACACACATGTACACACACACAAACACACAACACACACACACACACATGTACACAGACACACAAACACAAACACACATGTACACAGACAAACACACAACAGACACACACACACAAACACACATGTACACAACACACAAACACAAACACACATGACACACAAAACACAAACACACATTACACAGACACACAAACACAAACACACATGTACACAGACACACAAACACACATGTACACAGACACAAACACACACACAAAGACACACAAACACAAACACACATGTACACAGACACACAAACACAAACACACATGTACACAGACACACCACAAACACACATGTACACAGACACACAACACAAACACACATGTACACAGACACGCAAACACAAAAACACACATGTACACAGACACACAAAACACAAACACACATGTACACAGACACACAAACACACATGTACACAGTATGTACAAAGACACACAAACACAAACACACATGTACACAGACACACAACACAAACACACATGTACAACACACAAACACAAACACACACATACACAGACACACAAACACAACAACACACAGTACACAGACACACAAACACAAACACACATGTACACACACACAAACACACATGTACACAGACACACACACACCACAGACACAAACACACATGTACAAAACACACAAACACAAACACACATGTACACAGACACACAAACACCACACAACACAACACCAAACACACACACATGTACCACACCCCCACCCACTCCCCACACACACACCCCCACAAACACCCCCCCCCCCCCCACAACCACCCTATAGCCCCACTCACTCACCCATGACGCTGAGATTGACGTCTTTGAAGATCTTGGGATGTGAGTTGACTTGGCACTTGTAGGTCCCGGAGTCCCAGGGTCGCGTGGCACTCACCTGCAGCGTCCAGTCCCTCCGTCTCGGGCGTGTGGAGGACCTGGGGGGGGGGAGTCGAGGGGGTGAGAAGAACGGAGATGAGAATGCGTGTTTGTGTTGGTGTGTTTGTTGTTTGTTTGTGTGTGTGTGTGTTTTTGTTTGTTTATTTGTGTGGATGTGCTTGTTTGTTTGTTTTTTTGTATGTGTTGTTTGTTTGTTTATGTGTATTTGTTTATTTGTGTGTTTTGTTTGTTTTTATGTGTATTGTATTTGTTTATTTGTGTGTATGTGTTAGTTTGTGTGTGTTTGTTCGTGTGTGTTTCTTTGTCTGTTTATTGTGTGTATGTGTTTGTTTGTGTGTGTGTGTTTGGCTATTTAAGAGAAAGGGGAGGAAATCAGATGTCTCGTCTCTATGACCATTTATTAAATTATTCCTACGTGTCTGTCATGTCTTGTTTAAAATGAGGTTATTGTGGGCGCAGTGCATTCATGTGTGTGTGTGTGTGTGTGTGTGTGTGTGTGTGTGTGTGTGTGTGTGTGTGTGTGTGTGTGTGTGTGTGTGTGTTTGTGTGTGTGCGCGTGCGTGTTTCGTGTGCGTGGGAGCCCAACACCGACTTGCGTGTGGGTGTCTGACTCCAAGCTCACCCACACTTCGATTGCACCGATATTCCGTATCAAATATTGGTATTGATGAAATTCCTGTCGATATTGCCGATACTTGAAAGTTTTGGCGCCGCACGGAGTCGTATTAATAGCGGGAAGTATCTAAAGCTGAGGTGTTCGGAGGTGCATCTGAGACGGACTCGTGACATGGCGAATGTTAAATAAGGTTAGCGAAAGATCACCGTTTTCTGTGCGTGGCTGTTGGTACGGGGAAGGCTGGATCAGGAGCAACTCGAGGTGTCAGGGCGTCCCACGGGCTATTTTGATGATTGTTCAATGAAAATATAACCATTAAAATCATTACTTTCCATCCTTTTCGAAAATTGAAAAGACCAAAATGATCGACCATATTCACAAAACGTTTTTGTGACGTCATCAAAATAAACCCATGTGCTTTTTCTAAAAAAACTAGAATCAGACGCCATGACACCTTCTCGAGTTGCTACCGATCTTGCCTTCCTCCTGTTGGTACACCTGATTTGCGAAAGGCCCCCGTTTTCTATGCGTCGCTGTTGGTATACCTGTTTTGCGCCTGGCGATGTTTTTTTTCCCTTTCTTTTTTTGTAATACTACGGCGATTAAAAGAACAAAATGGAAAGCAGGTTGGTTTATGGGATAATTGATCATCTGGGTGAACTTGATTAGTAATTACGGGAATCGATGGTTTATTAATTTCAGTCTGGATTGACGACCGGCGCGGGAGAAATCCGGTTGGAATCACACATACACACACGCACACACACACGCCATCGACAAACAAGTATTTCATGTTCGTCTCTTTGAATTTCCACACACACATAGACAGTGTATATATATACATATATATATATATATATATATATATAGTATATATATATATATATATATATACACATATATATATATATATATATATATATATATATATATATATATATATATATATATATATATATATATATGAGACAGTTACACAGGGAGTTTTGTGATAAAAAGATATATGTGTTAATATTCATAATAACTGGTGACAACAATAATGATAATAATAAAAAAGAAAAATTACTAGCAACACTATTAATCATAATAGTAAATCAAAAATAATTATAGCAGCAATAATTATTGACAGTAATGAGCGATAATACCAATAATAATAAAAAATGATAATATTGATAAAAAAATTATATTAACCTATATCAACATACAAAGAAATTCTTAGAAAAGCAGAAAAGTCGCGATAATTTAAGACAGTTATCCCCACTGTCACTGAATTCCAAAATGAAAATAAAACATTTAATTCTCAAATGTACATTACTCTGCGTAACACGTAATGCAACGGAACTCGAAAGAGAAAAATATATATCCCGCTTATTATATAAAGAACACACATATTAAGATAAAAGCTTCATATAATTTCTGCGAAACAATATTCTTCTTCCCTTTACTGAAAATGGGAAACCGTAATGTTCCTTTTAGTGGATTCATGCACTATTCACTAAGCTTTTAAGAGCTTGAGGGAGAAATGAGGAGGGAGAGAGAGAGAGAGAGAGAGAGAGAGAGAGAGAGAGAGAGAGAGAGAGAGAGAGAGAGAGAGAGAGAGAGAGAGAGAGAGAGAGAGAGAGAGAGAGAGAGAGAGAGAGAGAGAGAGAGAGAGAGAGAGGGAGGGAGGAAAGAGAGATTTTTTCCGTATTTTCATATTACTTGACGTACTTGAGGGTGACTGGGGTGCCTGAGGCAGAAAGATAGACAGACAGACAATAAGGCAAACACAGAGAAAGTGAAAAACAGACAGCATGGGAAAGAGGAAGAGGGGTAGAGCAAGAGAAAGAGGAAGAGGGATAAAGCAAGAAAAAGAGAAAGAGAGACAGCAAGAAAAAGAAGGAGAGGGATAGAGCAAGAGAAAGAGAAAGAGAGAGCAAGAGAGAGAGGAAGAGGGATCAAGCAAGAGAAAGAGAAAAAGGGATAGAGAAAGAGAAAGAGACAGCAAGAGAAAGAGGAGGAGAGATAGAGCAAGAGAAAGAGAAAGTGAGATAGAGCAAGAGACAGAGACAGAAAGAGAAAGAGAGCAAGAGAAAGAGAAATAGAGACAGCAAGGGAAAGATGAAGAGAGATAGAGCAAGAGACAGAGAGACAGAGAGAAAGAGAGAGAGAGAGAACAGAGAGAAAGAGAGACAGAGAGATAAAGAGAAAGAGAGCAAGAGAAAGAGAAAGAGGAAGAGAGATAGAGCAAGAGAAAGAGAGACAGAGAGATAAAGAGATAGAGCCAAGAGAGCAGAAAGAGAAAATAATCCCATGGACACATCCAACGCTGCTCGAACGAACGGTCCCTCCAAATGCCACCCATTTCATATGTAGGCCTATGCTTCATAAAAAAAACCCCAAAGAATCTCTAAAAATAGAAACCTCCCTCCAGCCATCCCCGCCCCCTCAAAAAAAAAAAAAAAAAAAGAAATAAAGAAATAAATAAAAAAAATATAAAAGAAGAAGAAGAAAAAGGACACCATCAAAGAAACATCAAAGAAAACCAAATTTCCGTGACCGATCTCGGAAAATGGAATCGAACAGCCCGCCAACTTTATGAATAAAAAAGTAGACACCTATTGCATCTTAAGAAACATATCCGTCAGTTTCAATACTGTCAGCTGCAAAAAGAGGAGGGAGGGAATTTGGAGAGTATAGAGGCGTAGAAAACGGAGGAAGAAATCGGTGAAACAAACAAACAAACAAAAAAAGTTGATGTAATGTATGATAGTGATATTCATTTTCATTCTTGTTGTTGTTATTATTGTTATTGTCATCATCTTCATGGTTGTTTATTATCGGTATGGTCATAGATATTGTCATGATATTATTAACATTATTATATTATTGTATTATTAGTATTATCATTATCATCATTATTATTATCGTATTATCGCCATTACCTTTATTAACATCATCATCGTCATTATCATCATCACCATCATCATTATCTATAAATCTTTAATCTCTAGCAATCGCTATCATTACCTTTATCATTATCAAAATTCCTACAATCATTACAATCATCATAATATCTAAAACAGTGGAACTGAAAGATAAAATTAAGATCAAATGTCCAAATTGCACAAAATGGCCCAGACCCTCAACGTCTGTTAGCTCTCGCTCATAACAATCATTTTCAAGTTCTGAATAGTGATTCGCCAGTTCTCATTTTCACCCGAAAACCCTCTTAACCGACTTCCTACAGCTTACTCTTGCCTCAACAGTCTCTTCGCCCATTCTCCATTCTTTCACTTCCATGCACCGAGAACCGTGAAGTGATTTGTAATTGCGTCTGGTTCGGAACGACTTGGAATGTCTGATTTTGAAACTGGAGAAAAAAAGAGAGAGAGAAAAAAAAAGTTTGCAAGGGTATTTGACGGTGTAAATGACCCTCTCGTTGGCACTTTTATCTTTTTTTCTTTTCGTTTCTGTCTCGTTCTTTCTTCTTCTATCGTGATTTTGCCTCTTTCGTTATAATAATAATAAATGCAACCTTTCTTTCTCTTTTTTTCTCTTTCCTTCCATTTGTTTCCTATCATTCCTGTGTGTCTGTCTCTCTCTTTCTCTTTCTACCTCATTTTGCCCCTTCTATCTCCCTCCTTCTCTCCATTTCTTCTTTAGAATCTCCCTCCCTTCCTCCCTCCGTCTGTCTCTCCTTCCCTCTCTCCCTCCTTCAACATCCTTTCTCCCTTCCTTTCTTTCTCCTTAGCCTCTCCCTCCCTTTATCCCTCCATCACTCGAACCTCTCCCTACCTCCTTCCTTCCTTCCTTCCTGCCAGACATCCCTTTACTCAATAACCTTAAAGTACTCCCACTTCCCTAAAAAAATAAAATATAAAGTAGGCTATACAAACCACCCATAATTTTTTAAAATAGAGTAACGGGTAAAAAAAGAAGAAGAAAAATGGCTACTTTGAGCTAGTCATGGAAGCCGTACATCTCACTTTTTAGCTAGTCATGGAAGCCGTACATCTCACTATTTTTAACTTTTCTCTTTTTTCTCTATCCTTTTCTCCTTTTTTTCACTATTTTTAACTTTTCTCTTTTTTCTTACCTTATTCTCTATCCTTTTCTCATTTTTTTTTCTTTTCCCTTTTATCTCTCTCTCTCCTTTTTTCTCTTTCTCTTTTTTCCGCGGAGACTCTTACATCAAAGTCTTTATCTAAGCGTCACAACTTCACGTGTTTCCCCCGAGTGCGTCCAGTAGATAAGATGTTATTTAACGTTCAATGACCATTATCACAGTGGATGTGTTTGCTTAATTTATGGCATGTTGAGTATATCTGCTGTTACTGTTATTATTGTTCTTTATTATTAATGTTATTGCTATCGTTGGAATTGTGATTATTATCATTACTGTTATCTTTATCATTTAAATTGTTATCATTATCGTCATCATCATTATGATAATGATAACAATAATAATAATAATCTTTATTATCATCATTATCATTATTGTTATCATTATTATCATCATTATCGCTAACATTATCATACTTTTTATTAACATTTACAAAGACTGTAAATAGCATTATCAATATCATATATGGTCATCATTTCCATTCCTATCTTTTTTTAAAGATTTTATGAAAAGATAAACAAAAAATCAGTTGCGGTTACCATCATTGTTGTTATTGTGATTGCTTTAGCTGTTATAATTGTGATTGTCATTCCCCTCGCCATCATTTCGGCCATGATAAATAATTGCAGTATCCTCAATTAAAATACGACAAAATAATATTACGAAAACTTCAATGATTCGATTTAGAGAAAATCCAATTCTCATTCACAGATTTTATCTTCAGTATCCCTCTCGAAGTCATCATCACCGTTATCAACATCCCCATTTTTTGTATTCATTTTCTTTTTCTCTTTTTATAATTAACCTTAATCTATCTTTTATATTTTCTCGTATTGTTATTCTTTTATCTCTTTATATCTGCATTCAATCATTTATAAGAAAAAACCCTCTCTGTTAGCCACTTTTTCCCGCCAGTTTTGTCTTATCGCGCAATCGTTTTTATCGTCTTTATCATCATCATCTCTCTTTCTTCTTCCTCCTCTTTTCATTTTTGTCCGAACTTTCTTCTGCTGAATCAAATCATTCTGCGAGAATTAATTCGCTTGGTGATTTAAAGGCCTTGAGGGGAGGGGGGGAGGAGGAGAAGGAAGAGGAGGAGGAGGAAGAGAATGAGGAGAGAGAATATGAGGAGGAGAGGAAGGATAAGGATGAGGATGAGGGAGGGAGGAGGGAGAGAGAGAGGAGGAGGAGAAGAGAAGGAGAAGGAAGAGGAGGAGGAAGAGGGGGAGAGAAAGAGGAAAGGAAGGAGGAGGAGGAGAGGGAGAGGGATAGAAAGGGAAGGGAAGAGGAGCAGAAGGAGGAGGAGGAGAAGGAGGAGGAGAAGGAAGGTATAATTAACTAAATTCGCCGTAAAAAAGAAAAGAAAGAAAGAAAAGAAAAAAAACTAAAGAGAGCATACATATTTTTCTTTTTATTTCAATGTTTCATTTGTTTATTATGTAATTCCACTGGGTTTAGAGTTCTTTTTACAATTTATCTCGCCTTTGGAATTAATTCATATGATTATATTACTTATTTCTTAATTTACCATCACTTCTCTCGCCTTCAATACATATTCACTTGATTTTGTTTATCTAATTATTCGTTTACCATCTTCTGAGGCAGAGATACACTAGGCAAGGTGAGGTTTGTAATTACTTGAAATATAACGATGTTCTTCGACTATGTTCCGTTTAACCAAACATCATATGCTCGAATTAATCTTGGAACAAAAATCATCTTTATGCATTTCATTCTTTTCTCATTTCGAGTCTGTGAAGACTTCAAATTTACATAGAGATTATGGTCTGGAATAATTATTGTCTTTATAACTGATATTAATTCATCAAGCTATTCATTTATCACTGCAAATATTAATTCGATCTCATCGTGTCGAACCAAATCAAGGTTTCGGTAGTAACTCACTAGACAAGATACATATAGGCCTAGATGTAGCAGATACAGTGATCTACGTGTATTTAAGGAGCTACATCCAGCCAGGTAATACGTCAGGCTCCCCATCACGTCGACTTTAAAGACATTGGATCAACTAGCTTTAAGAGTATAGGTTTCGATGCCCTTAAATAAACAAAAGCAGTGAGATCCTTCTCCTTTTGAGCCAAATCGAAAGGGATTTGATCTTTGTTTACGAGATTTGATAGATATAAAAGAACATCACATCTTCTTTAAACACAATGAGACTATTTCCCTTAAGAGTAAAGGTTTCGATTCCCTTAAAATAAACAAAAGCCGTGAGATCCTTCTCCGCTGAAGCATACTTTTAAGGGGGATTCGATCTTCCTCAGTTAATAGTGATTATGGAATTTGATAGATCTGAATAACAATCTTCCGTAAAGAAATTGGATGAACTTCCCGTAAACGTATAGATTTCGATGCCCTTAAAATAAACAAAAGTATAGACACTTCTCTGTTGAAGCCTACTTTAAGAGGATCTAATCTTCCTCCCTTAAGTGTGTTTACGAGATTTGATAACAAAAACGCTACGATCCAACTATTAATGCTTATCACTCATAAGGACCTTTTTTCATCTCTAAGAGTTCCTGATGATACTTTATCAAATATTAGATTCCATTATAGATGAAGTATGGATAATCTCCCCCCTCAAAAAAAGGAAAAAGAAAAGAAAAAAAAAAAAAAAAGGATTTCAAACATTCTCAGACGAAAAAAATCCTAAAATAATCCACTCTTTTTTACTGCTACTTCACATGTGATAATCCAGATTTTTTTTTAGCGTTTTATCCCTACGAGAAATGCGTTACTTAATAAAAGACTTATGAATATCCCGTAACAGTCTGATTGCAAAAAACTGTCAACGCGCCTGAGGGTATTAATCAGTTCATTTTCCAGCTATAATCCCTGTAGTTGAACGTTGAGAGAGAGAGAGAGAGAGAGAGAGAGAGAGAGGAGAGAGAGAGAGAGAGAGAGAGAGAGAGAGAGAGAGAGAGAGAGAGAGAGAGAGAGAGAGAGAGAGAGAGAGAGAGAGAG